CGAACTAGAAGCGCTATAAGGCGAAGCAATCAACCAAAGCTGTCCAACGAACTAAAGCATTTAGCTCCTTCGGTCGGGAGTGTCGCGGATTTTAATATCGCGATCTAAAAATATGAGTTGCAAATTGTAGTAAAGATATCTACGTAATTTCCGCAAATAATGCTTATACTTCGGACTCTTTGTTTCCAAATTTATGCTTCTACATATTGAAACAATTTACATCGTTCTTTGTTAGCAATCCTTACAATCATGAGGATATCTACATTGTTCTTTGTTAGCTATCATAATCATGCGGTTATCTAATAAGCTCTTTATTAGCAACTGGTGCCCATGCAAGCACCTCCTCTCCTTTGTTTGGATCATTGTCTAACATCAATGTAGATTTATAACCATACTATTGTCAATTAGATCTGTTTTTAAATCATCCAATCCTCCGAATCAGTTTTATTCAATTGTTGCCCAAATATTTAGCTGGCATCCAACACATCTCCCTGACATCAAACTTCTCCCCCGAATAACAATTTAACCAAATCATAAAGGTTTGTTTCCAAAAACATTTTTGCTTCCACTACACATATCCTAGTTCAAAATTATTCATTGTTTTCAGGAATGTTCGTTTCTTTGTTTAACTATGGAAGGAAGAGATGAATGATATCCCAGCTTACACTTGACCCTCTTATAGCACCTGTTTCAGATTTTAATATCTCGAAACTCTAAAATATTATGTGAGAGTAGAGAATAAGGGTAAGAAATATGTTTTATGAACTCACATTGTTTACACGTTTCTTACTTAGATGATCTCATTTTGTTTCGTCACTAACTGTAAATTAGGTTTGAATCTAAGAGGTTAGTAACAACTTTCGCTTAACTGACTTCCTTTGGCTCATCAACTGGTAATTAGATTTGCTTGTAAACCAAGTCTACAGCTCTTCCCATACTTTTACTTCAATTCTTTTTTATAAAATTTATTGTACTGTTGCTTCTGTTGATAAAGGAATTATTATATTTTTGTGTTACTCCACACATTAAGTATCTACATCAAATAAATCGCCCCGAGATCAGTGAACCTCTCCCAAAGTAATAAAATTCATCTACAAATTGGTGCCACGAGCCGAGTATGTAACAAGTTTCAACGAAGAAACAAGATAAATACGACCAAATGCTCGAAATAAAAACGTATTTTAAACTTAATAAATGAAAATAAAGAAGTCATTATAACCTTAACTATGTATATGGATGACTCAGAGTGAATAATCCAAATCCAAAACCTTAAACAAGATGAAATAAAGGAACAAGCACTTCAAATAACCTATTATCCAACAGTTAACTTATCCAGTTACCACTGCCTATCTTCAAATAAACTGTCTACCTTCAGTGGTAATCCCAAACTGTGGAGAGGATTCTCAGATAGTTTCGAAGCTGCAGTCCATTTTACAAAACATACCAGACATTCAAAAACTGATTTACTTTCATGTTTAAAGGGAGATTCCTTGTTGGCCATCAGAGATGATATAACTCCAGAAAATTATGATGTGATACAAAAAGTCCTTATTAAAAAAATTTAAGCAATCAAACATCATTAGAAAAAGAGTTATATTCCATCAAGAAGAAATGATCGAGAATGGAAGGTAACAGTCGAGGCTACTAAAAGAATACTTTGATTGAAGCAGTGGGTGAAAATTTCAAATAATCCAGTATTGAAATTATCACTGAAAATAATCTGCCTGAATTCTGGACAGAGTATGTCAACAAAAGGTGGAACAACAAATATAGTCAGCAGCTAAGCTAAGACAACTTTTAGCAAAACTAATTTAAAGAAGCAAAAAAATTACAAGAAGCCAATCTTCTGACATGAAAGAGCAAAAAATAACTAAAGGTAAATTAGTTCACGGCCAAAGCTATCCAACTCTCACCAGTCACATCATAACGTAAACAGAAAGCGAGGCTTGCAAGGGATTAGGCCAACCGCAAGTATCAAAGCTGAACGAGAAAGTTCGTTTACTTTCCTGATTGAGTTCCTACTTCAATTCGAGGTCATCTCATCGTGAAGATATTCTTCACTAAACATATATATACAAATATGTTTTCTTATTGCTTACCGTTTTTCTGTAAGGAAGACATGTAGTTTAAAAGGTTTCCAAGGTCGACTGTCGCTATCAGAGAATATCAGAGGCGTGATATTTATGCATATCGAATAGCTCAATATCCATCCTCAAGTGTATCTTCACTTGATCCGTGGTACTCATTGTGCGGTATTCGGTAATCAAATGCGGTTTCGAGAATTATCAGTATAGGAGGTGGGGTTATCGATGTCTTTTTTTGCTGGTAGAAAGCCATTCATCTGTAGATTAGGTAAAATGCACACAATTAATGGAATAAGGAATAAAAGACTTTGAGCACACATCTTGTCCTGTTTCAATATGGTCATGACTAAAAGCAGTGCCCCATCTGCACCTCTTTTAATCGTTTTTAATGAAGTAATGCTTTTGCATGTGTATTTTCAGGACTTGGGTAGTGTAAGGACGACGGTACTATAAATGTAGAATGATATTCTCCTTTACACAAAAAACCATAAGTATACTAATAGGAATTATTCAGTACAGTTTTGTTACTATCAAAACATGTTTTTTTTTTTTTCTTACCAGTTTTATTTCTGGTTAATAATATGGGAAGCAGTAAATTTCGTCTGTTGTGAGATGCAGTTCGATTAAAAGTCGATGAAAGCGTACTAAGATGTTCCCATCCATTCATTTGGAGTTAACCTGAGCACTTCACTTGTACTATTTCGGTTGCAATAAACATCTGCAAAGGAGGAGAGGGAGAGTAGGTTGTCTGAATTAGGATAATGATGTTAATAGGATAATCGTGTAAATGCGGGCGCTATATTTTGTAATGATAAAATTATTGAGCTGCACTGTCTTGGAAAGAAATAGTGAATCCATTTTATCAGTAAGATTTTCCAGTGAAAACTAACATTCTGCATGAGCGTACCTGAATAGTGTGCCCCAAATTAAATAAGACCAAATGTAGGATGACCGTGTTTGCTCATCTATTTGTATTTTTGTTCTTGCCGACAATTCATTGATTCTAATAATTCACAATCTTGATCTTCCTCAGAATACATTAAATTGAATTCGATGTAAATTAGTTTCCAGTATTTTTCCTGAACTGTTGAAAAGAGCGGACAGCAACATAAATTTACTGGCGCTTTACATACTGAATATAAAGGTCGAACAGAGGGGAATGCGAATGGCCATATTTATGAAAAGAATATCACCTCTCACGTATCATCTATTTACGACATGTTCGAAATAAAATACAGTGGGACCTTTTCAACTACGTTAATAGTGAGGATCAATAGAATGATTACTTTAATCAGGAAAGCACATATAGATCTCTATAATCCACAAAGTTTATTCACAACACGGAAAACTAAACCACGGGAATCAATGATGAAAGAAAACAGCGATGATCAGGTTGAGAAAAAGGAAAATGACTGCGGATGCAGAACTGGGAGCAAGGAAAAGGAACAGAAAAAATAAGGCAATTAAAACTTTTTTAACGACTTCGGCACTACAGTTTAGTCCCAACAAAGCCAGCACACACCATTATGTCCATAGTTATGCTCAATTCCGATACATGGAGACTCGCAGATAGATACCCGAAAAGACAACTTACTGGACCAAACAAATTCAGGCTAAATTACTTTTGGGAAAAAATCCACTACCAGAAGTCTCAACCACATTTACTTAAATAAATAGCTGATAAATAGCAAATCCTAGCGCAATATCCTCTTCTGTAGTGCAGGATGAATAACAGAAGACGGTGTCAACCAGAGAAACCTGAATCAGGAAATTTCCAACAACTGGTATATGTAAGGAACAACTTCTTGATGGATTTTTTCTTTTGCGAGGAAAAAACATATTTTTGTTCTCAAAAAACTCTCCTTTAAAACTCAATACCTATTTCAGTGGTATTTAAGTAAAAGTTTTATTCCCATAAAAATCAAACTGCGTTAATGAAAAGAACATATCGTTAAAACACACCAATTATAGAAAAAACTTCTGTCAATACTGGACAATGAAAAGCAAATCAACAAAATAAAAGCTCAATAATACGTGAGCTCAAGTGCACCGAGCTGCACGACAAACGAACATGTACGTTAATTTCGAAAACACGTTACGGAAAAGCACCAGCATTAATAAAAAGAATGACAAAAGAATTTGATATAACACCAAGTAACGTCATCTAACTTTTATTACCTCTGAAATAATGATCGAGATATCTTGTTCTAACTTCACTAAATTGTTGCCACCATGGATATCTCTACTCATTTCCTTCCCAGCTCTAAGAAATTTGAAATGCTGTATGCTTTTTGAACTTAACAAATTGCCAAATCTTTAACGAAATAATGGTCACAATACATTAGAAAACTCAGAAACTGGGAACGCCGCATTACCTTTCCCTACCTTTTATGCTTCATTTCTATTGAACAAATTCTGCTACTGAGTTCTGAGGAAAGATAATTAGACTGGAGAAAACTTTTCGGTTTATCTTATGAGAACAATATGCTTTTCTGCGCATTACACTGCGACTTCATGGTAGATAAAAATAATTCATCTATGAATATAAGTAACTTAAAGACAAACAATGTATACATAAATTTAAAGAAAAATAATGGATAAATGAGCATACACAACGCAGAATATATAGGAATATTTCGGTAATAACAAATCAAATTTATAGTATTCGAAGGGTCTAACCAAAATCAGTCGACTGAGATAAGCATTCTTTGGAAAACATTCGGTAACAACGTACAACCACAAAGATGAACCGCACAAATATTTGGATATCAGAGTTAGCATTTGTCTTTATAACTAGAACCTAACGAAAACTGCCTTTATGCATAAAGATAACAAACTTACCAGGCAGAAAAAATGCGACTACTTGCAACAGCGTTACTGCTAATTCAGACAGAGAGTAGTAAGAATGAATTATCATTAATCTGTCTCTAACCAACTCGGAATTTCCTGAAAATATCGTATCTAAAAACACTTCTACTTTTGGCCAGGATTTTTCTATTGCTGTTTTACCATGGCTAAAATAACCCAGAGATAAAAGTATTAAAGCTCGTCAGAATCATATGCAATAACTGGTGGTTGTGAGCCACCGTCACTTACAGATCTTTTCGAGTCAAAAGAATCCGTTTCAGGAATAATAGATGCTTTTTTTGCTGCTCCTAGTGTAATTAACGCATCAGAATTGTAAGTGACAGCTATGACAGAAGTGCTCGATGAAGGAGGCTCATCACCATTTGTCCTTGCTGCTGGAATTGCGGTTTCTACAATTTCCGTTTTTTCAATCTCTTGAATTTCCATTTTCGCAGCAACGATCTTCCTGAAATAGATGATAGTTTAAACAACTACAAATTGTGTCTAAGAAGAAAAAACCACTTCCAATTGCTATATAGAAAAAAACCGATGTCAACCTTCGTCTGCTGGATGAGCCACTCGACGTCCTTTTCTTACATTTTGCAATTATGTTCACCTCACCAAGATCGATTTTTTCCTTCACAAGTACTTCGTGAACTTGTGAAGACAACTTTTTCTCAAAATAGCCCCTATTTGGGAGACAAGATATGATTGCACTAGCGACGGCCTTGTGGTATTTGAGATCTGGACGCATGGGATTGAACCTGAACATCATAGCATAAGCATGGATGCAATCAATGAAGCAATAAACATGCAATAATTCTACTTTAACATTAAACAAGTTTTGGAACAATGTGTTTTTTGTTTGTTCGTAAACAAAATACGACTTGTGTTTTCTCTTACATAACAAAGTAACCTTTTCACAAACCTTGTGTCATAGGACTCAGCAAATTTTTCGATTCGAGAGAATTCGATGAAAGGAGTGTACGTATTATCACCATACCATACAATGGATGCTCCATCCTTTTTATTTTCCTTCACGAATTCATGAATTCGACCTGGCCAATATGGAAACATTCCATTCCTCGCCCAAACAATGTCACCAATTCTAAAGCCATTATTCTCCATCGGCGCTGGGAAATTACGCGCAAGTTCAATTCCTGCTGCATGCTTCTCTTGAGCACCTTCTCGCTTTTCAAACAATTGCGAGAAATTTTCTGTTGAAGGCATATAAGTTTTCATAGTAATGGATTCATCTCCATCATTTCCATGATCAAAGTGCTAAAAAAGAAAACGATAGGCTAAAGATAATATGACAAACTTCTGTACCATTTATGTAAATCCGTGTAAATCAAATCCGGAACTACACCTTAACCTTCATTTCTTTAAATTGGAAAAAATTACATGAAAGGTCTATACCGCTAATATTATCAATTTCACACTATTAATATTACCAACGGAAATGCAAAGAAAAATCTTGATTGTTGACCACTAATTCATTTAAGAGAATTCAAGCCTACTGAGGAACATATCGTAACTAACAGGGTGATACATCTCGACTTCTGCTGAAGAAGCTTCGTCACCAAATATCACTCAAATCATGATGCAACAAGTAACTCACAGTCTTTATTTCTGTTGAAGTAGCTTTAATCATCGGTGGACATCCAGTATCTGAACGTCTTTGTGGGATTGAAGGACGGATTTTAAACACAGCTTTTTCAATAGCTGACGGGTAACGAAGATCAGGTGCCGAACGTACTGAGGTTCGCGCAACGACGTCTGAGCTGTTTATAGGTGGAGAATACTGCACCTCACGCTTTGGTCGAAGGGATGGATTCAATTCATTCTTTTTGACTGGTTTCAGCACAATTTTAATCGGAGGTCGACATGGAAGATTACGTTCCATCACATTACTTCCACTTTCGGCCTTACTTGAAGTAAGACAGACTTTCTCCATTACGTCAAGTCCCGTTTTTTTCATTTCTGGGGAATCAAGAGACGGGAAAGAGGGGCTAGCAGTAAAACGAATAAGCGAACGATCAAGAGAAGGTATAGTAAATGGCTGTTGGCGGAAGGAATCTACGATTGGTGGACGCGAACGACATCTGAAAACGATTAGGAACAAAATGTTCAAAGTATGTGAAGTAAAACACGTTAAAAATGACAGAAGCACAGAACCCACTTATGGCAACAAATGTCGTCAGATGACCTAAACTATGGTTTGAGATGCCAAATTCTTCACATGCTGTCCAAATGCATAGCATCTTAATCACTTGAAAATTCATTTCCATAAAGTGTTGGGTAAAACTTCAGTGGACCCACAACCATTCAAAATCTGAAAAAAAAAAAAAAAAAAAAAAAACATACCCGGTTGATGAACAAATATCGTGTTCATTGGATTGTCGAACGAATGTCATATGTAACGAATCACTGACTGGTTTCCTTATCGAATACTCTGACGAAAAAGCCCTTCGAATTTTGTCGCTTTTGAATCGACGAGTGGAGCTACCGCTAACATTTCGGACATCTTTATTTCTAGCTGGTTCAGGATTGTTGTTCGAAAGCGAGTCAACTATTCCACCGGATGCGTTATTCCTTATTAGGTCCGAACTAACGCGACGATTTTTTATCGTTACCGAAGTCGGCAGCAAGCGGCTCTCAAACAGTGTGGAAAAATACAGAAAAAATATTCTAAACGGCAGTCACAAAACAGAATGGCACATAAATTTTTTTTTAGCACCAACGATTAATTCAAAAAAGGTACAGTTGATGAAAAAATTCTCCCGATAGCATCTTGCGTGATTCAAAAGTACTACCAACAAATATCTTCACTATCTCAGCACACTAATCCTCAATACAGCAAAATGTCGACAGGAGGAGTTGGGACATTTCAGAATGGGCATCTCTTTTTTAAAGCTAAGCTTCCCAGGGTTGCACTCTTTTTCAAACCATCTACTCTGAAAATGGTTACCGTAAGAGCAAAGTGCCAATATGAAGAATATTTTTGGGCCTTTCACACAAATACTTCAGCATACTGATTGAACTGTGATATATTTCACAAGAACAAGGTTTATACCCTTCCCCCCCCCCCCCCCCCCCTCCCTATAAATGAAAACATCCTCATTCAACATCCGTGAATGGCAAAAGTTTTAATGCCACCACAGCAAAAGCAGCCCGAGATTCACCAGCAAATCCCTATTTACAAAAAAATCTTCACTGAAGTCGTACACAGTTTTTGAAACACTCAACTTACCATTCCTGCCATTTTGATCAAAGCAGTTCTCTTCTCTGTATCGTGAGATTTGACAAAATAGCTTAATTTACATTAAAGCTTCACTATGTTCGTAGAAAAATTAAGCAGAAAAAGAAAGACTAACATACTTCAACTTTAGGATGGAAAATGGATTAAAATCAAACCAGAAATGTTACCTTCTTCTAAGAACTTATTTTCTCGCTTTAAAGTTTAAACACACGCACTTACTGAAGTACATAGTAGACTTGTTCGTGCAAGTACTGGCATATCGCATAAGCAGATAAATCTACATCTTTACTGGGAAATTTGAGCCCCTTACCATCCAATTAGTCCTAACAAAGCTTTTTATTTAAGCATTATTCACAAGAAAAATCATAGATGAATTATAGACAGATAAAAGACTAAAGATGAAAAAAACATACAGATTTCAATACTTGGTTCGAATTATTAAGAAGACAAAGAAATAAAAAAGATAAAGGATGTGCTACAAACTGGTTAGTTATAATGTCCAGAAGAATAGCCACTTGAAACTTTAAAATCTGTACTTTGAACTACTTTCTTGTCTTTTATGTTTAAAACAGTATCTAACAAACAACAAATACCTTAGCATGTTTATGTGAAAGTTCAACGTTGCACAACCCTCTCGCTGAACCTGTAATTAAATTACCATTAATGAGAGACGAACTTGGGACAAATAGCTTTAGATGATACCCTGCAACCTATTATATTTGAAGCTTTACAGCTTGTAGTCGAAAGATTTCTAACATATTTATAATTGTTCTAGATGAAAATGTGATAATGAAGTTTATCAATGAAATACCACTTGAAGGCCCGGGAAGAGGGTCGTATTCTGGTTCGAATAAATCCACTCCCGCAGGAACCAAGACGCTACAGGCACCACGTGGAACATATGCTTTCCTCTTATTCCTTCTTCGTAATGGTGTTGAACTCACGGAGGCATCTGAGGAATAATCTGCTGTTTCACCGCTTAAATGTTCGTCCAACAATTCATATCCAACCTCATCAACAACTATCTGCAACGGCAATCTGTCAACCGATAGACACTAACTCGTTTTTATGGAAAAAGACTCATTACGAAATCCCGAAACCAAGCAGAGCTTAACATGGTGACACCGTATCTCGATCTAAGAACTGGAAGTTGTGTAAAGATATCGATGACTACTAGGGTACTTTTCTAGAGAATATAAATACCTTATTGTTTTCTTCCATTCACGAACATACCATCAATTATTCATCTTTGTAGAACTTTTGTGATGTAATACAAAAGACTGCTACCCAACATGCGAAATGTAAAGTAGTATGGATATCAGTACGATGTACAGCAATGTTGCTACAAATGACAATAATTCGACTTGCAGAATTACAAAAGCGTGTAATTATAAGCAAAAATTGATGTGTTCCGTTGGCATCTTTGAATTTGGCAATGGAATGAAGCAAAAATTAGATGGAAAACACATGCATTTGGAAGTTATCTGGAAAATATATAAAGCAGAATACCACTAATACAATAACGATACAGGAAAAGATGAACTGATAGAAACATGCACATTGAAACATTACGCTTGAAAAAAAGATTCCTGTAGAAATAAACTATGAGAAGAGTAAATCGACTTTTTTTTAGTGCAGTATTTTAGTTAGTTCGCAAAAATGAAGAAACTTCAAGCGATAAGCAAGATCTTCAAAGTTTGGAGAGTTCGTCAGAGCAGAAGAAAAGAAAGATTAGCTAATCTCAAGAAAAAAAAAAAAATGCGTAATAGAAGAAAAACAAGAACTTGTCGATAGTGGTTTTCATTTTTTTTTTCCTAATTTCCTTTTTTTACATTGATAAAATGAAGAATCACTTTAAGTTTTACTAGTCATATAAGTGACATAAATACCTTTCGATTAGCACATTACATTTTATTATATCTACCACAAAATCCACAATACACAAATAACAAATTAAGTCCCAGTAAAAAAAAAAAAAAAAAAAAAAAAACAAACGAAGAACTAAAAATTGCAGTAGAATAAATTAGAATGGCATAGGAACTACTTTTTCGAAAAAAGCGGTAACTCTGAACATCCACAAATTAGATTTAAAACTTTCATAAAGTTATTCCGCTATTCAAACAATCAGTTTTTCACATTTCATTCTAATAATTTCAGCAGTTGCAAGAAGTTAAAACTGATTTAAAAAAAACCCCAATTACCCTAGGACATTTGCATGAAAAAAGCAAAACAGTAAGAACTACAGTTAGTTTCGCTGAACCTGCTAAATTCCAATTTAATGTTTTTCGTAAACACCATGCAGTTAATCATGCACGATCATGGCATTTAATTATTTTCTTCCTGAATAATTTTAACGTCCGCTTCCAATATTAACAGCAGTACACTCTAAAACGTAACAGTAACACACATTTCTTAATACCTCTTGATATCTGACTATCAATTAAATTCTTACCTTGTCGTAGAACTTTTAATTTTTCCTATTGGTTTTTTTTTTTTTTTTTTTTTTTTTTTTTGCTCATTTTTCTTTCATGCTACGCTTATTTAGCTTTATTTTTAAATGACATTTTGAAAAGATAAGTTTTTAGGCAATTTTATTGCTATTTATTGTTTGAACAGAAAATGCACAATGAAAACAGACCGGTTTTTCTGAGGACGGTAACTGAGCCACTATACGTTTCGTTTCTTTGGGAAATGATTGCAGTTTCCGCTGGTTGGCATTAACGAAGTGTTTGCGTGTTATCTCAAAAAACTGGAGGTCACAGAATGGATTTTTTAAAGAGGAAAATTTCTGACAAATTATTTAATTAAATGACAGTAGACATCTGAAATTTAGGATATTTTATTATATTTTCCATATATGATAATGAAAAATGCTTGAAACATGAACTTGATGCAAATACATAAGATTTTAGAATAATGCACAGTAAAGCGCTACCAATATAATAAAACTAATGGATAATGAAGATGAATTTAAATGAAGAATTAACCATTTCATTATCTGGAATGGCTTCCATACAACTGGCACAAACCATACGACCGTTTTTGCGCATGTAACTCCGAGCGCGTAATTGAAGACCAGAAGTAGTAAATCGCTCACCAATTACAGATGTCCATTGATCAATGATAGGTGCATCCACGTATGCTTTAATTGTTTCCCGAAATCTTGACATATCCTCGCTGATGATACCCGGTGTTCCATTTGCACTGCAATTAATAATTACGGAAATCTATAGACATAGACATATTTACATATATTTATTACGATAAACTTTATCTCTCCATTCCAATTCTGTCATCTTCATTATGTAATTCGGCTGCTGATCCATCACACATCAAATACAAAAGAATGCACATTATCGCATTCCATATTATAAGAGGCTCCTAGAATTTAAGGAAAGGAAAAAAAAAAATAAACAGCAAATTCAGTAATTTTTGAGTGTTCGAAACGATACTACAACACAGAGCTTGAAGTTTTGTATGAATACATTACCATTACTATGTGAAAAAAGGTCATAACTTTGAAATAAATAATACAATTAGCACAATCTTGGAGAATGGGAAAATGCTTTTTAAATATGTCATACACTCACCCGTTCTCAGCAAGGAGAATACCCGTGTACTGAGTGCTTTCTTGCTTATACTGCACCACCAAAACACCAGGAGATGAGCGTACAACTTCAGCTTCAATTACCTGTGGCATATCTGAAGTTTCTACCGAAGTCTCCGCTGAAATCATAACTAACAATAATACGAGCAACCACTGGAAGGCCCAGCAATGGACTGAATAGAATGTTCGATGAATGCAATCACATGCTTCTTCTGCAGTATATTATAACACATTCCACACGTAGAGCCATAACGAAATAATTTTGAAGCACCGATAAAAGCTGTGATATAAATAACATGGTGCGATCCAAAAAATCACATTCTAAGGAATAACTTTAAATGCCATAAAAAGAGATAATACAAACATGTGGAGCTTCTAGTTTTTAAACCAGATTCCAATTGAGAACTAAATACCGAAGATATGGCGATGGAAACATAAAAGTTTAAAGACACATATCATGAACGTACTTATAAATAGAAATTTTTTTTTTTTAATTTGACACTCAATTCAATTTACATATATTCTCGACGAAGTAAACACAAAGCAAATACATAGGTAATTAGGTGGTCTTGAAGAAAATTGAAAAAACGCAAAAACTTACAAATTTTCGGGGGTACGCTCGTCCCACGCTGTGTCGTGGATTGCATACGAAGACTGGCGGAGAGATTCATTTCGTAATTTTTACGATTCTGGACAATCTGATGACGCTGTTTCTCAGTAGGCAGCGGAAATCGACCCATGCTATAAAACACTATACACTCAATCATTTACCTCCGTTAATAACTAATAGGTACGTGAAATTCACAACACAGGAAGTAATATCAATTACTGAACGTCGATCAGACCAAGAAGACCACCGAGGACCAGTAGTTAACCGCTCCGCAACAAGTGTATCCACCACTAACACAACATCGAATATAAAAAAATTCAACTGGCAAACTGAAGTTTTTTTGTCGAAATAAAGAGTTTACATTCACTTCAAGCTAAGACTTAATTAGTATAAAGCCTGAAATAAGTCTAAAGCAGCATTTACTTCAGATCTAAGGGTAAATTTTTTCTCCGAAAGTCATGCGATCCCAATGCTCCAAATAAATCCAGTTTCCATCATGAAAAAGAAACAGTACAAGCACCTACCTCACTTGACGATCGCCAAATCACGTCCCCGCCATCATTACAAAAACACTTTCTAAATCTATCAGCTTATGTCAAATTGTAATTGGTCTACTACCTTAGTGGTTTTTCGATGATGTTTTGACCTCTCCATTTAAAAAGATTTCTGTTACAACAGATGATGTGTTACAAATTCGCTAAAAATATGTTATGAGTCTCAGCATCTCAAACTATAACATCCATAAATATTTATATACTCTAATTTATCAAATGAACCATATGAAAGGCAGCAGCAGAACATTCTTTCCAGACTAAGTTAAATTTTGAATTTAGTTAATGATAAGTCTGTGAATGAAACTATGAACGATGACTGTACCTGAATAATTCTATCACTGTTTAAATAGGAAATTTTGAAAGAGTATCCCAGGGTGCAGCTGCTACGACTGATCAGTCACTATCACAAAGTTGTTAAGTAACATGGAATCTGTACATGGAGGATAAAATGCAAAACGATTAATACATTTTGTAAAGGAAAAAGGATAAGGGCAGAGGGACAGAGGGAGGAAGGGGAGGTGTACAGATTTCTGCACAGAAAAGAAATTCGCACTAGGCTCAGTGCTAACATGACAGTATCAGATTCTCAGTCAGATCAATATTACCCAATATCACCCTCCTCCAGTTACTTCCTTCCAAAAATAGCACGAAGTGGTTTTCATCTTCAGATGGATTAATTTTTGAATTTTTTCTCCTTGTACTATTATAGCTATTCATACCAAAAAGACAGAAAAGGGAAGCAATGTAACTTTTACAGTGACAATCCCAGCTTCGATCCACATTGAAAATGGCATAAAAATAATGGTTATTAAAGTCATCTGCAATTTACCATTAATTTATTAAGGTACACGGTGAGCCATATAAAAACATTGATAAAATGGAAACTATGAAGAAATTTTAATATTACAACATTGATTTTCACCACCTCTGGTTCGGTAATCCATAGCATTAAATAACTAATAGAAATGAATTAGGCCAGAACAGAAGGACGAATTTGTACGGCTTAAAGATTTGTCACATCTTTATGCACTTATCGAATTTTAATTCAAGAATCGACAGCTGGAAAGCATGCGAATAGGAGATGAATGACATCCTTCGCCATATATCTCTTGAGATGTAAAAAAAAAAAAAAAAAAACAAAAAAATAAAAAAACAAAGCAATCTGGAAAACATCGATATGTTGTGTAAAACATATTTTCCCTCAAAAAGTAAAGGCACATAATGAAGTAGGATCAAGAAAGATCTGAACTACCTGAAGGGAGCATTCCCTATCTTAGCATAAGTTGTCGCCATAACCAACTGAGTCTTCGAGAACTGAAACTGAAAAACTAAAAACAAACGATCGAAATAATTATGAATTTGAAAAGGTACTCATCAAATATATTTTTTAGTTTCAGTAATACATTTTATGGATAAAAAATAATTCACCTAATACACAAATAATTACTCATTTTCAGAAATGAATCAGCAGAATATCGTTCACGTTCAGAAATTATACTCATACCTCAAGTATTTACGTTTTGCTACCAAGTTCCTTACTACAATATCTATAAGCAGTACCTCATATGCACAGCTTTTATTTAAATAATAACCTTATACAAATATTAAGATAGGATAGGGAGGTTAGTGCTGCAAATATTAAAATAGAAAGGCGGCAGAAAAACGAGAAATTCCTGAAGTTTATAAAACACAATGACAAAAACCAAGATTGACTCAATTTCCACAGCAAGCAACCTAGTAGCTAATTTGCATTTACCAATGATTATCAGTGATTCAAAAATTTATAACCGGATCTTGCCTTATGCCGATTGTAAAGAAAGTGATGGAAACACGAAGCCGAATTAAGGACTTAGCACTACCCGACCACACAGAATAAAGGAAGAGCAAGAACCTGTCCATCGAGTATATAATCCGATTCAAAGCATTTAAACACTCCAGCATCTCCTTTTCAGGAAACAATGGCTTACAGCCAAAAAAGTCCAGTAATTTGAGTCGAAATAACGCTCATCTCCATCATCTCAAAGAATGAAAACAAATTTCCCGCTTTGGTTCGTCTATACGTAATAAAAAGACCCCACCTCCTACACGAAACAATCATGACCATATCACTGATTCTATACAACGGCAGTCAGTAGGATCTAAGAATATTTCTGCTTTCTTTATTTCAAACAGCAACTTGCCAATTAAGATATGACCTATAAGCAGTAGTAAAGCTTATGTTCAGAACCAAAACGATATCGCAATTTGATGCATGATGCAATCGCATCTGAGCAGAACAGCTACCCGTGTACATATACATATTTTTATTAACATTTTAGAAAATTATACTGATTTACAGGTAAGTTCCACTTTTCCACTTAAGTTATACATTACATACACGATTAAAATAAAATTATCACATGCAAAATAATAACTGGCATAGTCAATTCAGATTCAACTTCGAGATCACATTGAAAACAAAGCGCTATAATAATAAAGCGACAACTTAACGAAGTATTGCCTACATAACAATACTGTATCTTAATCCTTTTTACAGAGAACTAATGTTAGCAGTAAGCAATACTCAACCACACAAATGCATGTTAGAAGCATCATCAAACACAGAAATAAACATAAAAAAAAGTAGAATCCATGAATCAGTGTTTTAGAAATCTAGATTCAACTTCCGACGTTCAACGATCTACTTCACCAAAAACAATATCCATTGTACCAATAACTGCAACTACATCAGAAATCAAACTCATATGTGTTAAGTCGTGTAAACCAGCCAAATGCGCAAATCTGCAATATTTGAATCAATTTTACTTCAAAATAAACAGAGTTCATACAATCCAAGACTTTATGCTTGATTATTCTATTAAAAACGCGTTCTCACTGAGGCTTTAAACTCGTGTTAAACTAACATCAACTTTATTTATAATTTTATGTTAAACTGAGATTAACTTCATGTTTAACTAAGATTAGTTTAGCTTACGTTAAACTGGTATTAAATCACTAACAATTTTGTTATTTAGTCCAATTAAATTGCATAACAAAATAAGCAAGTAAATTTACATGAGAAAATGGAACATATATAAAGTCTTACATCTATTATTCTAAAAGATAAAACCTTATAAGCCAAGGAGATCTGATCTCCACGAAATGTCGGTGAAGAGAATAATGAAAAGAATTCCTCGCAACTTTTTTCATTAATGTAAATAAATCTATCCAGTGGAACTACATGAAAGTTGTAAAACTAAACATCTACAAAGCTAAAAACAACAGCCTCATTTAAATGTTCCTTCCCGTAAAAATCTCAGTTCTTTTGAAGATTCTTCATAGCTCTTTAAAACAAATCTTCCTGCTATTAGTCTTTACTACCTCACAGCTTTTTCCAATATGTAACTTGAGATAAATTGAGATAATTGCTTTAAATCTACAAATAAGCACTGTCCGAAATGAATAGCAAGGTTCAAACCTAACAATTTACATTACCACACAAAAAAGAAAGATAAGCAAAAATGGCTTACCCCGGCCCCCGGATAAAACATCGATACGGCTTTGATGTCCCATCTGCAACTACATAAGTACCGTACTCACCGTTCGGAGCTTCTATAGGAACATAACAGCTACCCGGTGGTACTTGATAGCCTTCAGAGAAGAATTTAAAATGATGTATGAGCGACTCCATGCTGTTCTACAAATATTCCCAAACGTACTCCTATGCATGCGGAAACAAATCAAACTTCAGTTTCAATATGAAAAAAAAAGTATGATAATTTTCTTTAACCTTCATTTCTTCTCGTTTCGGTGGTACAACCTTATGATCGTCTACCTTAATTTCTCCTGGAGGCATTTTGTTCAAACAGTCTAGTACAATCCTTAAACTTTGACGCATTTCTTCTAGCCGACAGAGATACCTAAAAATATAAAAATTACAACATAAAACTGGATTAAAAAATTCAGCAGTGATATGCATAGGTACCTATATTAACCAGAAGAATGTCACAACAAACCATATACTTTTCTTGGTCATTGCCTACCGATCATAACAGTCGCCCCTTGTTCCAACAGGAACATCGAACTCGATCTGATCGTAAACTTCATAGGGTTGTGCTTTCCTCACGTCGTACTTAACTCCGGATGCACGTAGCATAACACCCGAAAAACCCAAGCTTTGTGCATCTGTCGCAGATATCAAGCCAATATCACGTGTACGACTCTACAATCAAAAAATAAAAGAAAAACAAATGTTCCACACGATTAATGATAAACATTTAATTTTTGCTTTCAGTGAGCACCGCTTCAACAAACAATAAGCTAAATTAGCTTTTGAATAAACCATTGAAACTCTTGAGTTCTTTAAAATTAAATCTGACCAAACTTATAAATGGAAGTCTATTGAGTGCTTCATATAATTTAAATCAAAAAATAATTTCATTCACTTTATTAAACAGAAAAAGACATTAAAAAAAAGAAACATTACCTGCCAAAGTCGATTTTCGGTAAGCATATCTTCCATGGCATCAATGCGTTGTGGAAACTGGATGGTCCAATCATATATGTCATCCAACAGACCCAGTGGCAAGTCCCACGCCACTCCACCCGGTCTTATATAATTCACATGCATTCTTGCTCCTGAGACTCTCTCACTGAAATCAGGCTTGTAGGATGCTTATCATCAAATGACACTGGCAGTAGAAAAGGAAGAAAAGAATTAAATAGAAACGAAAAACAGTATCTCTAGGGCTAGTTATGAGTAGTTGACTGGACTCCAACAAGTAAAGAATACCATCTTAATTTTTTGTGTACGCATCACACTACAGAATGCAATACGAAGATGAATGTATCAGTTACTTTCTAAACGAAGTCAATTGAATATTTCTTAATATGTTCGATGCTAAAAAACAAGTCTAAGCCTCGAGATGTTACTACGATTTTTCGCATTTAAAGAGCAATAGAACGCAAGATGCATTACTTTATCATTAAAAGAGAGTAGCCAAATAAAATTAGCTTCGTTAAAAAATAACATTTTTCAGCATAACAATGTCAAAAAATTGTATATCAAATAGTTATTTATAATCAGTATAATGCACTTTATGACTTAGCTTCTACTATCAAATCCGCCTCAGCAGTCACACTGAGAACTACAGCTTTTTCACGAGAAGACGAGAAAGAAAACTAGAGCAGATGTAACTCAAGAGTTGAGAAATCACTGCGTTAACCTCAGAATTTTAAACTTACATTATCTTTTTAGTATAAGAGATGTGTTCAAGGACACCTGAAATGAAATTACAGTTTAGTTCAGACCAGGCTTACCAAAATAACATTAGTTTTGAGAACTATCGTATCAAAAAATGTAGATTACAAACACCTTGACTTCACAAAGGATGAAAATCACTCTAAGGGTGAGAATGTGACAAACTGATACAAACTGATTAGAAGGAACATATAACAAATATTTTTTTTATATTAATGGACAATGTCAGCTCTACAAGAGATTGAACTGAAATTGAAAAGTCAAGAAATCATCAAAAGTTCTGATTCTATTTCAGTTACTCCAGCTTCAAACTTATCAATAGCAGATACATCTAGCATTAATCCATGCTAATGCTATCTATCATTGGAAAAATCAAGACATTCTTTTTAAAATTCCACATCAGAGATTCTATATATATATAAAGTGAAGGAAACAAATTGCACCCAGTTTCAAGTATATGATGACATAAGCAAATTAGTAACTACTAGAAAGAGGATAGCGTGACGGAAGTGACAAGACACAAGAAGTTACCATTCCAGAACAACTTAAAAACCATAAATCTCCAATTAGTAAGCTAGACAACTTATATATCACTGCATTCGAGACAAAAAAAGACAGAAAAAAAAAAATGAAAATGGTGTGGATGAGACATGTCATTCGCTTCGCCGACAAATGAATCAAGAGTCTTTAATATTAAAAAATCTACGCAATGAAAGTAACCATCAAAAGTGAGTTTGCAAAAAAAAAAAAAAAGTCATTTACTTGAATTCGAACAGTTTTTCGCGTTCTTCAAACATCCAGAATAAAGGCGTCATAGCACCAATATCCAGTGCATGCGTCACAATACTAAATGCATGATTTGCAAGACGATTTAATTCAGCGAATAATGCTGCAAAAAATTAAGCTATTACAAAAAGCAAATACCATGAATTTTTGTAAATTGGGAAAGAACTCACTGCGAATCCATTTAGCTCGAGGAGGTATTTCAATTCCCAACAATTTTTCAACAGCTAGTGCAAAGCCTTGCTCATTTGTGAGCATCGTTATATAATCC